TAGTGCCCCAGTTGCAGAATGATGGTGGTGGTGTGACTTGCCATGAGTAGCCTTTAGCAGGCTAGGGGACTTCACTTACTTCCTTTGGTGGGGTGCCCATGAAAAGTGACATGGGACTTTGTCTCATCCCCACACCTAGAAAAGCATGCAGTGGTTTGGGTGGTTTTGCATCTGACACAGGAAGCAATTATTTCAACTATTAAATGTACTACAAAAATCTAAGGTTATGTTTCTGTTTGGAAATGAGTAGCTGTTTGCTACTTTCAGCTCTGGAAATTAGGTGTCTGTGACAAACTTGTTCCAGGTATTACAGGCAATTGGGATTTTGCAATGCAGTGTCCCTGCCCATGGCAGGTGGGTTAGAATTAGATGATGTTAAGGTCCTTTCCAACCCTAACTATTCTATGATTCTGTGTCAGGCCATCCTATGCATTTCTTCTGTATACTGGAGATCCCTGTGTGGAGGGGGCTGTCCAGAAGGGCAACAGTTCACAGCTCAGCTGTAGACAGAAGAAAATGTGACATGCTCATGCATTTGTTAGGAGAGTCCCTTTGTAATTATTTTGGTTTTCAGCAGTGATTCTGCAACTCAGCAATGTCTTTTTTATTTGAATAGGACGCTGGATGTGAACTAATGTAGAATTGGTCTATTTGGGGTGTTTATAGAGTCTCTTCTGGCCACAGAATGGTCTAATTCGACTTGAAATGCTTTGATGAAAAATGTTATGATTTAGTGATTTTTTTGAATTGGCCTTGGATGTCATTTAGTGTCTACACCCATACAGTGTGTGTCCTGAAGACTGCAATAACTCACAAATAGTGTGTCCCACAATACACCAAGAAGAATGTTTGCTGTAGGACTAAGATGATGTTATTTTTGCACTGTAAAATAGAGCTCCCACAGAGTCAGCTTTGGGCATGGCATGTACAAGTTCTTCCTTGGCTCCTCAGTTTGGTTATTCAAATCTCCATCTGTTTTTGTTATAATTCGTTCCATCATGAGATTAGCACTATCTCTGCATCTCAGAGGGACTTTACTGAATCTTTCATCACCCTCAGCCAGAGCAGCATGATACTGTTGACTCATCTATAGAACTTGGAAAAAATTATGCTACCTTCCATAAAATCTTTCCTTCTGTGGCAAGATCCCAGAATCTGACATGGGCAGTGTTTGCTTTCCTTTTGGGGGTCTCCCAGTTTCAGTAATTAGTATGGAAAACTATGAGGTCTTTAGAGCTAGTTTGAAACAGTCATTAACATCTTATTTCTATCATATGTGTTATCCATCAATATAAACTTAGATTTTATGGTTGTTGAGTGTGACAATAAGCAATCAAGTCAGAACTTTGGATAGGAAAATACAGTATCTGTTTTAAATTCACACAAGATAGGCCAATACTTGGAAAAGCTAATAGTGATTTATTTGAGCTTAATACTACTAAGCTGTAGTTAGAGTGAAATTCCCATTATTCTCTAGGAAAAAAATGACTTTGTCATGGAGCATTACTGGGTCTGTCTCTAAGTTTGAATTCCAATAAGTTTTCAGTGGAGACATTTTGGTATGTGATAACTAAAAATTAAACACTCCATCTTTGTTATGCTTCTGTTTTATTATCTGTGTGCTGATGACATTTTGAATAGGTCCCTTAGGGAACTCTCACACTTACAAGCAACTCCTCATATAAATACCTGTTCAAGCTAAATATAGGAAGAAAGTATTATGTGTACATGTTTTACTGATTTCTGTGTCCTATCAATACAACATGATCTTTACCCAGGAAAGTAAAATCCCTAAGGCTAAGAACAATTTCAGAGTACTTGGTTATATATTTTCTTCGGTGCAATAGATGAATGGCAAAGAAAGCATAACCTCTTTCTAATAAATTCAAGTTACAAAAAAGGCTTAAGAAGTCAAATTTGTGGAAATGCACTATATCTAAATGCTATATTGAAAAATATGTTCGTATGTGTTAAAAACCACATGCCCTTATTCTCATATGAAAGGATCTTTCCTTTTCCTTCATTGCATACATGCACCGCCCTGTTCTTTGTTGGTTCAGCTTCTGTGTCTCCAGCTCCTTGTTGTGGGTCTTGGCACTTGCTGTTTCTTTAGCTGACAACCTGGAGAAATGGTCTGATAGGAACCTCATGCACTTCAACAAGGAGAAGGGCAAAGTTCTGCACTAGGGGAGGAATAACCCCAGGCAAGAATATGAGTTTGGGCCACCGAGCTGGAAAGCAGCTTTGCAGGAAAGGGCCTGGGTGTTCTGGTGAACACCTAGGTGAACATGAGCCTGCAATGTGTTCTTGCAGCGAAGAAGGCACATGGTGTCCTGGGCCGTGTTAGGCTCTGTTGGTGGCAGGTCAAGATGATCCTTCCCCTCTGCTCAGCACTGGTAAGGCCACACCAGGAGTACAGTGTCCAGGTTGCCCTGGGAGGTTGTGGAGCTCCTTCCTTGGAGATATTCAAAAGCCATATGGACATGGTCCTGGGCAACCAGCTCTAGGTGGCCCTGCTTGAGCAGGGGGTCAGTCCAGATGTTCCCTACCAAGCTCAACCATCTTGTGATTCTGCAAAGCTGGAGTGAGAGCTGCTGTGTGAGAACAGCTATTTGGTTGTTTTCTGTCTCTCCTTTCTTCCCTTCCCTTCCCTTCTCCTCTTGCTACCCTCCAGCCTGGGAAAATAGATTTTTTCTGACTAGCTGGACATCTGGCAGGAAAATTATATTGTTTCCACGTAAGACATTTTATGGTTATTGATATGATTTTAGTATCAACCAAGGACAATTTCTTATAGTTAGGAAAATTTTCAAACAACTTGATGGGAACCTAAGTCTTTAGCTAGTAAAAGAAGGGCCCAAATTCAGTTTCGTAAGCCCATTGTAATGTGTCATTCTTCCTTCTCATCCTCTTTTTATCGTAACTGAATGGCTTAGAACTTCTTGAGCTTATGTACGTTTAAAAGAATTCAAGCTTGCATCATATATGACAGCTGATGTATTTTATAAAATATAAGGAACATAAAGACATCCTGTCATCATTTGGGCTCTTTCTTAGATTAATCTACCACCTATACACTTCGCTAAGATGACAAAGTCATCTTTCCTTTTGTGACAAGGTCATCTTTCTAGCTGATCAAGGAAAGCCAGTAAATGTGGTGGGTTTGGATTTTAGCAAACCTTTTTATACTGTCACAGTATCCTTCTGGATAAAATGTCCTGCATGCAGCTAGACAAGTCCATAATACGTTGGGTGACCAATTGCCTTACAGGTCAGACTCGGAGAGTTACAGTAAATGGAGTTCCATCAGGCTGGCAGCTACTCACCAGTGGGGTTCCCTAGGGCTCAATTTTAGGGCTAGTGCTCTTTAATATTTCTATAAATGATCTGGACACAGGAATTGACTGTACATTAAGCAAGTCTGCCCATGATACTAAACCAGGAGGAGCTGTGGACTCTCTAGAGGGTACAAAGAGGCCTTACAGACAGATCTGGATAGGCTAGAGAGCTGGGCCAACCACCACCTCTGACATTTAATGAGAGCAAGTGTCTGATTCTATACCTGGGACAGGGCAATCCTCGTTATATCTGCACACCGGTGGATAAGAGGCTGGAAAGCAGCCCCATGGAAAGAGATCTGGGAATTCAGGTTGATCACAAATTGAGTACTAGTCAACAGTATGCCCTGGCAAGCCCAAAGGGCCAGTTGTGTCCTGAGGTGCACTAAGCACAGCACAGCAAGCTGGTCAAGTGCAGTGATTGTTCTGCTCTACTCTGCACTGGTGCGGGCGCCACCTTGAGACCTGTGTGCAGTTTTGGGTACCTCGATAGAAGGAGGACATCAAACTATTAGACTGTGGGTGTCCAGAGGAGGGTGACCAAGGTGGTGAAAGGTCTTGAGGGCAAGATTTAAGAGGAGCGGCTGAGGTCACTTGACTTGGAGAAAGAAAGCTGAGGGGCGCCCTCACTGCCCTCTACACCTTCTTCACAGGAAGGAGGTGCTGATCTCTCTCTGGTGACCAGCAATAGGACACGAAGAAATGGCATGAAGCTGCATCAGGGGAAGTTCTGGTTGGACATTAGGGAAAGTTTCTTCACTGGGAGGGTGGTCAGTCCCTGGAACAGGCTTCTCAGGGCAGTGGTCACAGCACCAAGCCTGTCAGAGTTCAAGGAGTGCCTGCACAGTGCTCTTAGTCACATGGTTTAGATTTAGGTAATCCCATGAGGAGCAGGCACTAGGACTCAGTGATCTTTATCGGTCCCTTATAACTCGAAATGTCCTATAATTATGTGAACAAATATTTCTGTCAACATCTGGCTTTTGTTTTGAGCTCTGGGCTTTGGATTGCTTATTAGAGGAAAAAAGAGTTCATATGGCTTGCACCCCTTTAGAGTGTCATCTCTATCATCTTTGCCTGCCTGGAAGAATTCTGTAGCCTTCAGCTGTGCTTAGAAATAAATTAGTAAAGAACTTTCCTCTCAATTAGACCTGCACAGAGCATTAGAAAATTCCTATGGATACCACTGGGGAAGTCATGAGGCACAGATAACATTCAGGGTTCAAATACACAAGTATATTATACACCTTGGAGATACTGGTTAATGGTAGAACAAGTAAAACCCTGGAGGTGGATGTACTGATGCTCAACTGAAGATGATTAAAAAATTGCCTTATTGTTTTGGGTCTGTCTTTCCAGGTAGAACAACCTATATGAATTCTCATCCTGATTTTTGTTGAATGTGTGAAATGGGAATTAACCCTGAAATCTGGACTTCCAGCATGGTATTTGTGCTGGAAGCTTGGTGCTATGCTGTCCTCGTGGTAGCCTTAACCCGATGGAAAAACCCCCCGAGATTATCCATTGAATTTTAGGAAGGGCAAATTCAAGCTGCCAGCTTCAAAGCTCTCTACTGTGATTGCTATAGACATGGGGCAATTTGAAATCTACACTTGAGAAGCTAATGAAAGACAGAAGCCCTATTGTGTTCCCAGTTTGGCTTTAGCACTTTGGGTTTAACATTAGACATTTGCAGATTGTATGAAAAATTCGGCATTTGCAAAAAGCACAGTAGTTACAACACGAATTCAAGTGTGGTTTGCAGGTTTTGAAGTTCGGCACGCAGTCAGCAGCTGGTGTGGGCCTTGGTTGCAGAGATGTCTTTGGTCCAGCTCTTTTCTAGATGAAAAGACATGAAAATTCATGTAAATGTAAAATGAGTATGTGTCAGAATAAAGCATAGGAGCAAAGTGAACCGTGGGAGCTCCTGGCTTGAGATGAGTAGGCTGTTGATAGTAGTGAGACCTGTATTAGTAGCAATATAGAAACGTGGTGGGACTGGATCATGGGAAGCAGTGGCTTGAGAGCAACCTACTGAGCAAGATGGTAAACCTCATGAACCCTATATTTAAAGCAACTAGAAACATGACTGGACAGAGCATTGGAAAATGATCTGCAAGAAAGAATGTGGCAGCAGTGAAGAAAGGCACACAAGAATATGCAAAGACAATGACATTCTAAGTAAGGAATTACTCTTGGATCCCCAAAGGTTTCAAATAAGAGAGTGAAACCTCCCTGCCAATCTGTGGAGCTGGTACCCACATTGTTTCCTGAGCTGTGAGGCTGGTAGAGAGTGGGGGGTGACTTGGCAATGCTCTACCTCTCATGGTTTGTTTCTCAAGCTGCCTTTAGAGCTTGGTAATCTTTTGTGCATCAGATTTGCGCATGAGAATTCTTAACTGAAGACACAGGTAAGTGAGCTGAAAAAGATCTCCCAGCCTACCCAAGGAGTGCTGCTTTTCTGTCTGTGATTTGGAAAGGTGGGAAACTTTGGGTCGATCAACATGTGCCTGGGACCCGGGAGAAACTGGAGCTCTCCAGCCGCAGGCACCAAATGCACTTTTTCAACCTGGTAGTTTCCCAGGAGTTTCCTTATTAAGGTAAATGTTCTGTGGTCTCCAAGTGCCTTAGAAGCTTTTAAGCTAAAATACTTTGACAAAGTTTGATGACAAAATGCCCTACTTTGAGCTGAAGGTGGATCTAAATGATGTCCTGAGGCCCCTTCGAACCTGGGTCATCCTGTGAATTTAGGAAGTGTTTTAAGGAAGGTTAACCACATGAGATATCAATGAAAATAGAAAAGAAGAAGCTCTAAAAGCTTCTGGTTGCAGCGATGACTGCTTTGGCTATAAATGGCTATCATGACATAGTAACAATAATGCAAAAATGCTATTTTCTACTTCTCTATACAATCTTTAAAATAGAAGAGTCCAGTCCATGTAATACTTCACATTCAGGACCTGTGGGTAACATCACATGAAGGAGATCTATCAGTTTGAATCTACTGATCTGATAAAATTACTAGTGAGTTTGTGCCCCCAAGCAGCAGAAGCCTGAATAATTTTACAAATACTTAAACCGGCTCAAGTTTAAAGTACTTTCTGTGTAAGAGAGGACTGTAAAAAACAAAAGCAAAATCAAAACGACCCTTCAAGCCCAAACAATAAGCTCTGATTAATCTAAGACCACATAGTTTTCCTTCTACCATTAATGTTTTGCATCTCTTTGACAGTATTTATAGCTTCAAACCGCATGCAAATTGTATGAATTGGGCAATGGCCATAAAAGCCTTGCAAATGAATGCATTGAGGAGAAGCATAGAAGTGATAAACCATTCTAATTCAACAATGTTTTCTGAACAGCCACCTACCTTGGAAGATTTCCTGATCTCTTTGACTTTCTGGGATCTTTTAGTTAAATCTTCAAAGAGAACAGCACAATATAACATTAAATCAATTTTACAGCATGTTATTTGAGACACTTACTACTATTTTTGTGCAAGAGGAGACAGGTAACTTGCATTTCCACCTCATCACTGTGTGTTTGGCAGTGAAGATGTTCTTCTTTAGGAGCCATCCTCACTCACACATCATGTGCCTGAACTCACACTGCTGCTCATGTGAAGCAGAATGACACTCACTGGTGTTTGTGTTTTAGGAGGGCTTTTTTACACATTGCTTGGTCAGATGCAAACAAAGGAAATAGTTTCAGAAAAATAAAAGTAAAGGTATCTATGTAAAAGATGAGGGTACTTCTGCACATTAGTCACATGAAGAAAAATAGGAAAACCCTTCAGAATTACACTTTTTCTATTAAAAGGTCGTGTTACCTGCATAATTTTGTCAGGAATTAACAAGTGTATGCTGGTTTGCACAAGCAAAAAGCTCTTTGTTGATTCGGCATAAACTCTTCATGTGTATGATGCCACTTTTTGTTCTTCAGTTCTTTGCTCCTTTTTTACCTTCCATCTCGCTTTACAAAACATTACTTGCAAAGGCGTTTCATTAATATGCCAGTAACTTTGAAGGTTTGTGAATGCAGAGTTGAATCTTCAACCTGGTAAATTTAGTGTGTGTGTGTGTGTGTGTGTGTGTGTTTAGACTATGCCTGATGTAACTTCTTTTATTCTTTAGACCAAATCACTAGTATTTGTGAACTTCCTCATGTTATCCCTTGAGGGCTAATAGCGTTTACTGCAGTTGTTACTATTAGCACATCAGCACCAGTGCTGTTTAACACTGTATATAAACTCCGTGACTGAGACTTGTCTTGAGATCTAACACAGCAAGACCGTGAAAGTGTGAGACTCTTCCCTCCTCACTAGTCTGTTATGCTACTTTTGATACCTTTGTTCTATGTGTGTGAGGTTTGTAATAAGCACTATTTGTACGTAATGATTGACGAGGATAAAAAACTTACATACACCCACTGATGAACAGTGGCTCCTTGTCTATTCCAGTATTTGCTATCCATATATTTTTGAATATTTGATAATTGCCAAGATTTACAGAATGAAGAATGCATATTTTGGTCTGGTTTGGGGGGTTTCATTTATTATGCTTGCACCATTGTAGTTAGGGTTGTACATCTCTATCAGAGGGAGGAAAAACTATACATCGAGCATGTAAAGTTATAACTTAATAAGAGCACATCTTAAAAAGGCATCACACTAACTAGCATTAGTGGTTTAGATCCATTTCCAGCTGGCAGCTTGTTGGCTTTGTTATGCTGCCCTTTAAAACTTTCTGGTGGTAACCAAGATGCTTGTGAGTCATTTAATTCTACATTTTCCTTCTATAATACAATTGTACAGGATTTTCTGGATTGTTTTGCCTATAAAATTGCTTTGATAATATTCAGTTAAATGGTTTATGATGTCATTAAACAGAGATTTAAACACTGATGTGGTGTAAATGCACTTCAATTACCCCAAGGAATTTGGTAAAGAAGAAAATTATGCTCGGTGGACAAATGCTTTTTTTGACAGATAAGTGCTGTGATTGTCTTGTCTATAGTTTCTCTGGGTTGGGTAAAAACCTGCTTTTCCCAACTAGCCTCTAATCTCATATTCCTTATACTCTACCTGCTGTGTTTTGACCAGCTGCCCAACTGGCCAGCTCCTTACAGATCACTTCTGTGACATCAGAGGAAGATGTAATACAGGCTTGTGAAAATATTGATAATACAAACCTCTGACCCCTGTTGATAGAACTGTGATTTGATGTGCTATAAGAGTGTATTAATTAGCCAATTGCATGTTTGACTAGTTGATGCTAGCAAAACCCATGCTTACCTTTTGAGTTGTGATTCAACCCCAGCCTTGTGTTCTATTGAATTTGAGCCAGACACATGATCTTTTGATACCATAAGCACTGTGATTGATTCACAGGTGTGTAAACAGCTAATTGCAAATGAGTTTTGTTACTCAAGAATGGCTACAGCAAGATTTAAACCTGAGATGTAGCTTGAGTCTCTGTTTTGTGTGGCCAACCAGAAGGAACAGTGCTTGGTCTAAGATGTCACTGAGATAGGAAGCTCTATCCAAAATGTTTAAATCAAGCTGACAAGAAGATTTTCTGTTAACTTATACAGAAATCTGTTATGTATATCATAAAATATAACATATAAAGAAATTGACAGTATGAGGAGAGGAGAGGATGCTGTGGTGATTTAAGTACTCTCTTAATATTTGCTTTAAATTAATTGTTTCTGTGGTGGTGAGAGCAGCTTGTCAGCCTTTTGCTGTGATGCTGCTGTTACAATAAATATTACCACGTGTTGGCTCCATCTCCCTCCCGATTGTTGCAGGGGTTTTGCTGGGGCTCTAGGCAGTGGGAGCAGCGGCAGCACTGGAGGAGCCACCTGTGCTCTTGCCCTTCCCACTTCTGCCTGGCTGCTTTTTCCAGCTGTTTTCCCCTGTTTGCGTTAGTTTCTCCCAATTTGACTTGTTTCCATCCTCTGCAGGATTGTGCCCAAGCAGTTTTTCTCCCTGTAGCAACTTTTCTCATTCATTTCAGCTCCCAGCACCATGAAGGGCACAGCTCCATTTCTTCATCCAGCTGCTGCATAATGCACAGAGCCCAGCAAATGTGCATTCATTTGTCTCACAACACTGCAACAGGTTGCCCACGTGGGCACAAGGTGCCCAAAGAAGTGATAAATGCCCCATCCCTGGCAGTGTTCAAGGCCAGGTTGGACAGAGCCTTTGGCAACATGGTCTAGTGTGTAGCATCCCTGCCTATGTCAGGGTGGTTGGAACTAGATGATCCTAAGGTCCTTTCCAACCCAAATCATTCTGTTATTCTATGATTCTATACAAGGATTGAATCACGGGATGCTATTCCCAGCTCACTTCAGTGAAAATGATGAGATCTGCTGCCATCCTCCTGCTCTCAGCAGGGCTGGAGCTTGGTCTGGGAACCTGAACCCCAAAACAGTGTCAGCACGAGTTCTTTCTCCTTCGCCTTCTTTCCACACCCGCTTTCAAATGCCTTTCATATGCCATGCATTAATGCATGCTTTTGATCAATTTATAATTAATCAAGTAATAATTCAATTATTTTAGTTAATAAATGATAAAGGTAGTGTGGCTACACGTTACACTCCCAGAAAAGTTTAAGCATGTGCCATTTCAGCTCCAAAATAACTGATTTGAAACCCTAGGTCGGATTTCTTTGACTGAAGAAAAAAGAGGAGTGATGTGTCTCAGTTTTCTCATTTTGTGTTTTTTCACTTTTCTTTGGGTGTGGGCAGTGGAGGATCAGACTGGCCTCTCATCTTTGAACAAGTGGGCTGCAAAAAAGCCTTGGGATACCTCTGGAGATGCCCTGTGCCCCAGGAAAGTGAGTGCAGTCCTGGCCAACAGAGTTACAGTGAGGTTTGCATCTGTGTTTTCTATTTTGGAATAATGAGCCAAGACAAGCAGGCAACGTAAGAGGTGAGTCTTATGCCAAGGTCTATTCTTTTGAATTATTCTTGTGTTTTCAGTGTCAAATGTTCATTCCATTTGTATGCATGTAGGAGAAGAACGAGTGTTTAAGGCACAGGCATGTTTTTGCGAGAAGGTGGAAATCAGCTGAAGGGAATGTATTTTATCTCTCTGAATTCAACTGGAATAAAAAAATTACTGGAAGTGTGAGAATGAAGGCTGTTAGGATCACAAGGACCATGAAATGGTGCGATCTGAGAGGTCTTTCAGCACAGGCTTTAATTAACTTGCAGCTAAACAACCTGGAGTTAACTCAGGATTGAAAGGCTCAGATTTAATTGGAAATGCATGCATGGGACAATTGTTTCTCCTTAAAGAAATATTGTCCTAAAGAAGAGAACAGAGAAAATACAGGCAACAAGGTAAGAAACCAACCTTCTTTAAGCAAAAGTCCTAAAAACCTGTAGGAAGGATAAAAGAAGCTTTATTTTTTTAATTATTGATACCATATGAATGATGCTTTGCAACTGATTATCCACAAATACATGTAAGTTTCATGAAAGAAAGAAGTTGGCTTAATTTACATTGAAAGAGACCAGAGAGGAAGAAATTTTGTGAAGAAGAGAGTTAAGCATTGCCCTGACACGGCTCTTCCCTAACAGGCCAGATGGTCACCTGCCATGTAGCTGGTCCTGTCTTGGATAAATAGAAGACCTTTGGCTCTCCCTTGCAGTGGTGTTTTCTTTTCCTGGTTAAAGATCACTTGGCACACAGGCAAATAGAGGTTATTAGAGAACTATTTATTTCTCTGCCACAAGAGCAGAACCTAAAAACCCCAAGTTATGTTAACTTTTTCTATCTGTACTAGACTTTCAAAGGAAGAGTAATGCCCATATTAACAGAAGAACATTTTCTTTCAATATAAAAGATTTACAGTCTGGGATGCTGTGGCTGCATTGCAGCTGCAGTTCTGCATGCTGCCAAAGACAGCTGTATGAGACCACAACGTTGCAGTAAGCTGTCAAAGTAATCCTGGTTGACAACTGTATTTTCTGCAAATCTTGTTAATTTGGCACTGAATGACAGATTTTACTAACCTGTTATGGAGATGGGTGGGAGTTCTGAGAAATTCATTTTGTTGTTCCTTGACAGGCTGCATTCTGTCTTCTCTTCAATTACCATGTGATGATCGGCAGCTCTGAACAAACTGTAGCAGAGCAGTAGGCTTAGGAAGAGGTTCTTCCTTTCCATCCTGGGGAGGAAAAATTCCATTGTCATGAAAACCAAAGTTGATCAAAACCTGCATGTAGGAGAGACACAAGGATAGAAATCTCAGTAAAGGTGTTCTGCCGTGTTGTGCAGGTTTAGCAACAAACTTTTGACAATTCTTTTGTTTCCAGCACTTTGCCTCTGATACCACAATACTTAACATTGTTGTGATCTAGTGGAAAAATGCTGTCTCAAATACACTTCTCTTAGATGGTATTTCCCCCCCCCCCCCCTTATTCTTTTCCCAAAAGCTGTGAGTTCTCCCCACTGAGTTTCACACTGGTTTTTGTTGTATGAACCAGGGGAGAGGAACTTCTGCTGCCAGTTTTGACCAGCTCAATCACATCATCAGGTTGTTCCCAGAAAATCTTGTTTACAAAACCCAGAAGAAGAATAATTTAAAAACCCCACAAATGGGTTTTCCCCATTTAGAAATAAGTCATTAAGAAATAGCTTGTTCTATTATACCCTGAGATGGCTGCTCTGATCCCACAGTGAATCATAGTCATAACTCTTGCAAATTAAAAAAGGCTCAGTGCTGTAAAGCCTTATGGGCCTTAGGGTTTAGTATGTACTCAGTAAATTCTAAGAACTAATGAAGTCTATGGGATTTGAACATACTTATGGAGACACCTGAGCTTTGCAGGATGTGGCTATAACGGAAGAAAGCCACTGGCCCTGGCCAACCTCTGTGTGACACAGTGTGGGCAGACAGGGTACACAGAGTGTATTACCCTGGTCTCCTTTTCCTGTAGATTCCTAACACTTTTGAAGTTTGAAGTTGATTTTTATTTCCATGTGTATGTTTCATGCTGAGTCAGAGTTATGGGAGTCTTCCCCAGAGGCACTGCCAGCCTCCAGATTGATGGGTAGCTTTTCATAGACTCACAGACTGGTTTGGGTGGAAGGGACCTTAAAGCTCCTCCAGCTCCAACCCCTGCCACGGGCAGGGACCCCTTCCACTAGAGCAGGTTGCTCCAAGCCCCTGTGTCCAACCTGGCCTTGAACACTGCCAGGGATGGGGCAGCCACAGCTTCTCTGGGCACCCTGTGCCAGCGCCTCAGCACCCTCCCAGGGAAGAGCTTCTGCCCCAGAGCTCATCTCAATCTCCCCTCTGGCAGGGTCAAGCCATTCCCCTTGTCCTGTCCCTCCATCCCTTGTCCAAAGCCCCTCTCCAGTTTTCCGGGAGCCCCTTTAGGCACTGGAGCTGCTCTAAGGTGTCCCCTTCAGGAGCCTTCTCTTCTCCCGCTGCCCCAGCCCAGCTCTCTCAGCCTGGCTCCAGAGCAGAGCTGCTCCAGCCCTCACAGCAGCTCCGTGGCCTCCTCTGGCCTCGCTCCAGCAGCTCCATGTCCCTCTTGTGCTGTTCCCCAGAGCTGGATCAGGGCTGCAGGGGGGGGCTCACAGAGCACAGCAGAGGGGCGGGACCCCCTCCCTGCCCTGCTGCTCACCTCTGGGGGTGCACCCAGCACACAGGGGGTTCTGGGCTGGTAAACTCAGTCTATGTTACATTTGCTTTTACAGCCTTCACTGACCCACTCTTCCTTGTGAGATGTTGAATATTAGTCCTCTAATTCCAAGTGCTCGGGCTCATTTCTCAAACAGTCTGTTCTACAGGCCGTGCTCATGTAACAGAGCACTGCTGGGTACACCAATGCTGCTTTCACTGCTGGTTATAGCTGTGCCATGAGGACATCCACTCAGACATATTAGGACTCTATTAGGATTTTCAGGGACACATGTGCTGGATCCTTTGCGATTTAGACATCTTTGTGATTTAGATAACTTTGTCATTTAGACATCTGCATGAACCACAACAAAACCAGATGTATCTGAGTTTGGAGTTTTACAGGAGGAGGGATTAATTCATGGAGTTCTGAGCGCTATGTCTGTGTTTCAAATGATACACAGCTGGTGCAGTTCAAAGCTGGTATAAAGTTGAAACCCAATCTGTCTCATAGTTGTGACCGTGGATTGACATCTCTTTTTGTGATAGGAGCTGGGAGTATTCTTTAATTCAATCACAAATCACCTACTGGTTAAGAAAGTACATCTCCTTTAGGAGAAAAAATCCAATAAACAGAAGGAACAAGTCTTGCCACGAAAATTTGTTGGGACTATAAAACTGTGGGTTTTTTCCCCCAGCTATTGCAATTTAGTAAGGACTCCAGATGCACATCTGTCTTCATTTTTTACATGGTCTGATCTTGTAAACTCATACAGAAATTCAGCTGTTGGCTGTGTATAATGGGAAGTGTGTGAAGATATTTGCTAGGCCAGGAACCCTGACCTGGTTTTATTTTTTTTAATATTAAGAACAGATACCTTTTTATTGGTTTTCACTTTCCTTTTACAAAAGATGCCCAGACCTGATCGATGCTTTCTAAAGACTGTTCTAGTGCATAGTTTTATAAGTAGGTAACCATTTAGGTCATATCCATAATCTTTCAGGTCGTAATTAGAATTTTTTATGTAACTGATTTTACCAATCTGAGTATCTCTGGTGATGTTCATATTCTAGATACATGCTTAAAAGTCCAAACAGAGCTGAATAATGGGCTTGTGTGCCCAGAAGTTTGTCTACACTTTCCAGATAGGTAGCTGGTCAAATCAAATACATCATTTAAATAATATTAGCTTGCTTTACATTTAAGTATGTTTATTTTCACAGGATAGAGGCATACAGGGAAGGAAGGAATGTTCTATGATGAGGGTGTATGGCAGGTATACCCCCCCCAACCAAAGCACAAATGCATTTTACACAAACTATAATAGGCATTGCAGTTGTTCTGAACATAATTACATATTTATAAGAGTCAACATTTCTTTCTCCTTTTTTTATTTTTTTTTAATTTAATTTATTTTTTCCCAATATCTATTTTGTGTCAATCCAGGGCCAGCGGAGATATCACTATTTGCTTGTCCTATTTGTGTACTTTTTCCTGGCATGTTCCATTCTGGCCTAACATAGTCACTCTTAAAAAGACTGCCTCTGATAGTGGAAAACAGGTTCTATGCTTTGAGAATCTGAGAATCTGTCCCAGTCTGACAACTTGTTCATTATTTCATGTTCTACCTTTGCATTTTGGTTTGCTAAAAAAAAAAAAAAGAAAAAAGGCAGAGCATGCAGTTGTGGTGCTTAGATCTAAATATAACCTCAGTTTGGTTAGAAAATGATCCTTGTGTTGTCTATGACGATAGACATGTGTGTAGCCAAAGAGCAACCTCTTTCAGACTTCAAGCAAATTTAGGTCCAAGAACTTTTTTCTTCTAAGGGCAACAGTTGAGACTATTTTAATAGTTGTCCTCTAACACCTCTGCTTAGTGCTATCAATCAATCAGCTAAGTCTCTTTTCCAACCTATACATTTTCCTTTATGCTTTCCAGAAATCTCCCAGGAGCCTGAACTGCAGGACAAGGCCATTGGTTACATGCCTTTGGCTCAGGGATTTCATCAGTCTGCTCAAACTTCTGCCAGACAAGCATGTGTTCTGCTGCCTGTGCAAAACTCTTGTGTGGGGTGATGGCAGGACACCGAGTTCCTCCCTGCTGTGACCAGGTTGCCATAAAAGCTCAGTTTTCCCTTTTTACACAATGAGTTTAAATCTTTATTCATCTGTATAAAATGGTGCAATCTTAACTTGTTTTTAAACAAAATATGACATGAATCTCTAGGATTAAAATTTTTGTGGTATGCCAGTGTGTTACATCCGAATTTCTGCTTTTTTTCTTCTTGAAATTGAAAACTAGGCTATAAAATACTATTGACCAAAGTAAAATGGCAAGTGGCATTGAAGGCCTTCTCTCAGTTCATTCTCATTCCTTTTGTTCTTTCGTTCGGACTCTTATCTCTGGTCTTTTGTGTAATTATTTTTTTTAATTCCCAAATATTCCTAGCACAAGAGGCACTGTCTTTTCTCTAGCTTCTCCATACCAAAATCACAAACGGTTTACTAAAATGAATTGTTGCTCACACATGTGTAGTGTTTGATGGGGTATGTTAAGTTTCTGTGCAATTTTGAATTTAACACTTTTTGAAGTTATTGAGCTCAGTTTGCCCTTTTTGCTCCCCTACACCTTTGATTTCTATTTTCTGGTTCTATGTTCTGTTTTCTTTAATTTTCAGTGATCCACTGTGTCCTGTTGCTTTTGACAAACTGTCCTGTTGTCCTTTAGACAAATTTCTCTCTCCTTTCTTTTTCCCTTGTACTCTTTTGTTGTTTCCCTACCTTGTTCTTATCATGTGCAGCTGGATAACCCTGAGGAATGAAGCAGTGGAACTGGATGAGATGCAACAGTGGAGAGGCCAAGTTCAAACACTTAAGCTTGAGAGCAAAAAGAATTTCTGAAGTTAATGGCTTCTGGGCTTCAAATGATAGAAGGAGAAGATCTGTCTGTATTGATCACAGCATGACTGAGGGTCACAATATGATGCAGCTGTGAAAAATCAAATCCAATTCTAGGGTTTATCAAGAAAATTATTTGTAACAGAAATACGAAAGCTTTTACTATTGTATTCAAACACTGACCTTCATTTAGAGCATAGCATCCAATTTTGGTCACTGTGGGAGACAATGGAAACTACATGATTATTGCCAAAGAGAAGTAACTGCTTGGCTAGAGAAGAAAGAGTTAAAGAAGAAAGAAAGTACAATCAAGCAGAGCAACCCAGCTGGCTGAGGAGGAGAAAGCATAAGGTAAGAGACTGGCTATTCTGGGACTGGTTGTGAGAAAGCGAGCAGTGTTAAAAAAACAAACTATAAGTCAGGAACTAAACATTATAGGCTACAAATAGAATGGTATAAAAGCTAGAGCAATAGGCTAAAAATAACTGTTGTTAGAATAGTATAAAAAGTTAGAGCAGTAGGCAATAAAGTGATTCACTGCATGAAGATGCTCTGGGTCTGTGCCTTCATCCCCTCAGGTCACCCATGTGGAGCAAAAATGCATTTACATTAGAATGGATAATGGATGCCAGCAAAGAATAATAAAATGATTGCAAGATGTCACGACTTGAGATCTAGCAG